GCTGACAATATTATTTATCTTCTCTTCTCTGCTCTTCTCTACTCTACTTATATCTATCAAATAATTATATCTCAAAATAAAAATATCGTTTTTAAGAGGTAAATAATAATATTAAAAAATTTTTTGCGGATAAGTTGATGGAATTTTCAGAATACCAATTTAACTAGTTTTTTAAATACATTACAGCATTGCTTAACTACTTTTTAATTTTGTGTGGAGCTATTAGAATTCTAGTAAATTATAATACTTTATTTCTTACAACTTATTTTATTAATGGTTTTTTATTAAATTTTCTTAATGATGAATTCATAATAATATTTAATTAAAACTAATTTAGTATCTTGAGTAACAAAATGAATTGATATAATGAAAAATAGCACCTTTAATATCTTTAATTAATGGAAATAATTAATTAGAATTAAATAAAAGCCATTATTCTGTATTGACGTTTGATACAAAAGTTTATGAAATATCAATTCTTAAATTAAATATTAATTTAAGATTAAAAAGAATTTGTAATACGCATTATTTTTATTCTCAATGTAAACTTATTAGGTATCCTAAAAGTTATTTTTGAATCATCAATTACTAAAATTATTTGAAAATACAGAATGCAACATACATAGTTTCTCAAATAAACTTATAATTTTTTTTTTAATTTACAAACAAGACATTATGTTGAGCAGCATTACAACTAACATGATTGCTTAAGAATTAAAGATCAAATTTTATATTATATATTGTAATCTTAGCAAAGGAATTACATTTAAAACTACTGTTTAATTAGAAAACTTAAAATACTATAAAATACAACTTAATTGAGTGAATCTAAATAATGAAATATCATAAATAACTTCGTATTGTATATATTGCAAACATAATTCTGAAAAAATGATCTTTCGAAACCTTAATTAAGTCGACTTTATTCCTACAATCTAATGGAAAACAGAAAATTACCTTGATATTTATATTATTGATTCTAAAATAGCAAAACTTGAGTAATTTTTATATAATCTATATATGAATAATTTATTATATATAGGTTTTATAATTATTGAATCAGTAATTTATTATTTAATTAAGATGAAAAAAATACTAAATACTATTGACAAATTCGATATTTTTGGGGTTCCAATAAATCTTTTGACTAATACTAAGGCTTCTTTATATTAAAGTAAGCTTGGTGGAATAGTTACTCTTATAATTGGAAGCATTAGTTTAACTTATTTTTTATATGTAATTATATAGTGGATTGATCATCAAATACCTCCTATTGTAAGTGTTAAATAATAAACAATGTCATATGCTGAATTTGAGTTGTCAAATTCTATTATTGAATTAGAATTATAAGATTTTTTGGGCGATGTGGATCCGTTTAGAAAAGAAATAATATAATCACACCTAATTTATATCGAATTTAAGATACAGCTATATTTGATAAACCAACTCCATTATTTAGTAGTAAGGACAATCCATATAAAATATCTATAAGTAATGGAACAATTGTTTTAAATCATGATTACACAGGGAATGATGACCGCTTAGAAATGACATAATTATTGCTAGTTTTAGAAGGTTGTTCTAATTTAACTACTGTATCTGGAAGTTATTGTGCTGATGAAAAAGTAATAACAGAGTATTTATCAAAATTACATGGGTTTTTATTCTTAAATATTAAATTAAATTAACTCAAGTATTCTACAGGAGAATTAGAAGAAATTAAAAAATAATATTATACAGCTTTAGAATTGTCTAGACCTCTATATTCATAGGTAATGCTTAAATAATAAGAATCTATTGTTGATAATGGAATATTATTTAATAATTATGAAAATTACTATTTCTTAAATAATTATGAGATAATTCATTAACAAGTTGATAATCTTTTCGCTTCTGAAGTGGTTAGTGTAATGTCTAAACAATTTCATTAATTCAAAAGTTATGGTTGTTATTTATTTAGAATTGATAACATTTCTGTTTCAGAAACTATAACATGTCCAAAATTAGGTTAAATTCTAGCTTAAGTTGGATCAATTGTGTAGATAATATTTTGACTATAATATATTGCAATATATTATAATAAAATGTTATTGGAAAATGAATTACTTTATGAAATAGTAACTATGTATTATCCAGAAATGAAAAAAATAAAATTTAACTATTTTAATCAATTTGTAAGTTGGGAATAACAAGAAAATAATAAGAATAGTTCTCTTGAGAAGATTAAATATAAATATAAAACATTTATTAAAAGAGCAAAAGAAAAATGTAGATTAGATAACATCTTATATGAAATTTCAAGAATCCAATTTATTATTTAACAATAATTTGGAGATTAAATTCTGTAACAGAGCCACTAAATGGGAGGAAAATTGTCCAATCAATACCTTGATCAATAAAATAGTAAAGAGTCAAATAGATTAACGGTTAAACCAGCTAATTATTCAGATATAGAAAATGACTATGCCTTATTGGAACCTTTAGAAATTTTATAAAAATAACCTTGAAATTTATATATTTATATTAAAATATTAGGAAAGGGTGCTGTTGATATATTATAACTTTTGTTTATAAATTAGTTTAAAATTTTTATTTCTGAAAAATAAGAGTTCTTTTGCAACTATTTCTTACAAAATAATTTGTTTTGAACTATTTTCTAACTATAACTCGGTTTATTAAAGAATCAGATCATAACTTTTAGATGGGATAAATAACATTATTGAAAATTCTAAATAAATGAATGTTATATTTTCATATGTGAAATTGTTTAAATTATATAAAATATTTTCTTGGGCGTTTATGTGAGCCAATTAGGTTATCACCTTATCTCTAAATCTTTGAAAAACAGTTAAAGGAAAAGTTCATATTATTATATATCTGAATGCAGTATGATTCTTTCTATTATTTCCTAAAAGAAATATGCTGTACATAAATAGATTGAGTTCGTATAATAAAATTTTAATTTCATAGATTACGGATAAAAGAAAATGAGACTAGTTTCTTAATATTTTGAGTCAAATTTCTAAATATTTATAATTTCAATATAAAATACTAATATATATATAGAAATCAGGAAGGCAATTCCTTAACATTTATTTTAAAAGAATGAGTTTCAATTTTTAGTTTCTATTGGTTAAGCAATTAGTTGCTTATTATTATTGACTTATTTTGCTTATAATTATGTCCCTTTGAATTGGATGGCTCTACCATTTGGATTATATATGCTTTATAACAGGAACAGTGAGTACAGGAATATGTATAAAGATTATTTAAATTTAGGGGTTCTTGGTCATGAATGTAGTCATTTTACATTCTCAGATACTAAATGGTTGAATGATGCTTTAGGTTTTATATTGCATGAAGCATTATTGGTACCTTATTTTTCATTGTAACATTCTCATGCTATTCATCATGCTAAGACAAATCATTTAACCGAAGGTGAAACACATACTCCTGTAATTTATGATTCAAAATGGGAAAGTTATATTAAAAAATGAAAGATATTTTAGGAGAGGAATGCTTTACTAGCATTTAAATCTTTAATATAGCAGTTTTTGGATGGCCTCTATATATTTTAATTGGTGTATCAGGAGGATCAGCAAGAGGATTCACTAGTCATCTCATAGTACTTAATAAATTGTTACCTAAGAAATTGTTAGTCAAAGTAATAGTTTCAAATCTTGGAATATGTTTAGTTATTTATTTATTATACAAATGGTATTAAGCAACTTCATTTGCTGAAGTAATGGCTTTGTATATTGGTCCTTATTTGGTAGTCAATATGTGGTTGACCATCATCACTTCCTTATAACATAATGATTTAAATATTTCTCATTATGATGATACTGCTTGGATATGGTTAAAAGGTATATTATTAAAATTATTTTAGGGAATTTATGTACAATAGATAGAAATTATCCTCTTTGGATTAATGCTTTACATTTCGACACTGGTACCACACATGTTCTTCATCATCTCTTTTCTGAATTACCTCATTACAATGCTAGAGTTATATTATCATTATATTATTTATAGGAAGCTAATATCTATCTTAATTAAGTAATTGGGGATTTAAACAATCAAGATACCAAATAATTGTTGACATCCCTTTATGAAACTGCCAGTCTTGTAGGAGTAGAACACAAAGGAAATGGAATCTGGAAATTTATTAAGACTTAATTATTGTTTCGTAAATCAAAAAATAAAATATATTTTATTAAAAGGATAGTAATTCATGTGAAAACTTATATCATGAAACAACTGAAGCATTATTGTGGAAAAAAACTATTTAGAGTAGAGGGAGATTTAATAAAATAGATTCAATTATACAGTTATAAATGAATTCTTAGAATTGGTTTAATTTTATATCTTAGGTCATAAATAAATGATGCACAAGATACTGAACAATATAAAACTTGCCTTTAGAAATTAACATATTTTAATAATAAACTTATATTTAAGAAAATATTAATATAATAAAAACATAATCATGAAAATCATTCAATCATTTTTTGTAAAAATGTTTGGTGTTTTTATGCTTGTTTAATTAATAATTCAATTAATTCTATTTTTCTTTTAAATATGTACTATTTTGATTCCCTAATTTATAAAACAACTAAAATAAATTAATAAAATGTGCTGCATGCATTTGATATTTTTGATGCTTAAACTTCTGAAATTTACCTTATTGTTTTTATGTATGTTAATTAGCTCTCATTAATTTTCCCAATATCTAAACTATGGAGTGAATTCACGTAGTTAAAATTTCCTATTATTTTTTAACATTCTTCCCAACTCTATTATTCGGGTTTAAAAGAGTGATCTAAAAGTACACAGATTATTATTATCACCTTTACTAATATTGTTGGAGGATTACGAGTTCTTTTTAATTCCACTAAATCTTCCTTATTCAATTTATATAATTTATCAAGTGCATTGTTATATTCCTCAATTAAACTTTAGCAATTTGTTTATTCAGTGTTTTATATAGTATAAACTTAAATCTAATGATTCAAATTAAGTATAATTTAATTAATATGATTTATCCTAAAGGGAATCATTTATATAACTGTTTGATTGGCTCTTT